TTTTTTTTTTTTTTTGCTTTAAACTAAGTAAAAGTAATATTTCCAAACATACTTGGAAAATAGAGTAAGATATGAAGGAATGAGGTATAGTAACAATATCATTAGATTTGTTGCCTAACAATAGCTGGAAAATTTTCTTTGCAAACATTTAAGTGTGAATGAAACAGCAATATGAGACTTATACTTTATCCTCCATAATGTATTTTTCTAATGGAATTCTGTTGCATGAAAATAATGCCTGGAATCTGTGTCCACCTCGACTTGAGAAAACTGCAAAACCATTTAGAAGACCATCACTTTCTGCAATAAAAAATGCACTATATCCATTAATCAGGGAATGCTTCTAAAGTTTACTCTGTTAATATGCCCTTCTTGGTCATAGTTTGAAGGTTAAGACGCATCTTTATGCCAACCTATAATGAAATAATTTTGTGCAACAGAAATTGGGTGGACCTCAGGGTATGAACATAGATTGGCAATCGGCACGGGGAAGTCCCGGTTCGTTCGTAGTGAAGCGAGTTATGCGGTTGGATATACCTGTTGATAGATATCCAAATGTAAGCCATTTCAAGTCTTAAATTTAATTTATTTACACGGAAGCACAATCTTTGAATTTGAATCACTCTTCAATTTCCTAAATTAGTTATTAGAACCAAGACTTATTACATTCTCTTTGGACGACAGTTCAATTTCATGGGGAGGCTTTTAGGTCCTCGAGGCAATTCCCTTAAGCGAGTTGAAGCTTCTACGGGCTGCCGTGTGTTTATCAGAGGAAAGGGTTCCATAAAAGATACTGGCAGGGTAAAGTAATTTTTTTGATTTCTAAAGAAATTATTTTCCGTAAATGACGTCTTAAACCTTTGTCATTGGGAATGTGCTTGCACTTGTGAATATCATTAATTCATTATTTGCGGTTTCAATTTAAGGAGGAAAGCCTTAGGGGAAGACCAGGCTATGAGCACCTAAATGAGCAGCTGCACATATTGATAGAGGCAGAATTACCTGGCAATGTTGCGGACTTAAGGCTGAAGCAAGCGAAGGAGATCATTGAAGAGCTGCTGAAACCTGTGGTATTTATTAGATGCTCATTCTTTGCATTATTTATTTGTGCAGATTTAGAAATAAAAATAAATGAAGTTTGGACATATGGAATCCAGTGTATGATGAATACATATATCAGAGTGATAAGTAATAGGGAATACTTTAAAGGGTGAAACTGTTTCTTC